AAAGCCACACCCAGGGAGTTTTAAGCCATAGTGTCTAAATTAAGAGAGATGAGTAGGGTCAATTTTTGTCCCCAAATTGCTCATCAGATACCTGTCCTTCCCCGACATCTGCCCAGTATGCAATTCCAGCAGCAAAACTGAAGCAATGGTTTGTTGTTTTCTGATCCCTTTCTGGGGCCGCGTTTGGAGCCAGAGGCAGTCTGTCTCCCTGGGAGGAGGTTAATTAGTCTGTGGTATAAATATGTGCATGCATCATTTTGTGAAAGGTGATGTTGCATCGTGGTACGAAATTCAGTGGACCCGTAGGTGTGGTGTTGGAGACGGGAATCCGTTTTCTCAGAGGGGTGTCCGTGCACGGCGGCCCTTCGCCTTTCTTGCTGAAGCTCTCTGTTTTGCTCCAGGGTGATGCTTCCAAGTCTGATTCCGAGGGGGATCTCTTCCCCCGTAGCCTGGAAGAGGAGGGAGGACTTAAGAAAAACTTGTCGAATCCAGCCTGTGAGTAACAACCCCGGGAGGACGGGCCCTTCCAAAGAAACCTTGCTTTGCTGTGAAAACAAAGTGTCCCGAAGCAAAAAGCCCTCAGAGAGAGAATGGTGTAGCCTGAGCTGTGGCACGCTCGATGTTGCAGCAGGCTTGAGGCGTGGGGTGGGATCGTGTGATGCAGACAGGGAGAGACCTGATGGTATTTGGGCTGTAATCTCCCTGCCGAGCCCGTGGTTTGGGTTCTTGGGGTGTCTCTGCAGGGGCACAAGTGGAGGAGCCAGAGGGAAGGAGCATGGAGGGAGCCCGGCATGGGCAAGGAGGGTTGGAGCTGGCGGGTTTTGGTTGGAGGGTTGAGGGACAGCAGATGACAGTCTGCATCTGCTATCCTCTCCCATTGGCACCTGATCCCATTCCTGATTTGCATCGCCCTGCTCCCGTGCCAGGCTGAAGGACGGCTCTCCAGAAAGACTTTTTGGGCCCATCCTCCTGATGCTTAGAGGAGAGCCGACCCTGCGCAGCTGCTTTGTCTGCCCGGGCGCAGGTTGTGGATGTGTCCCTAGAGGTGTGACACCTAAAACCCACTTGTGTCTTCCAGTGATGGCCCTGAGCGACCACCCAGAGCTGAAGAAGAGCCTGACCCCCCCCCTCATCATACACACCGCTGCCACGCCGATGCCCATGCCCAAGAGCGCCGTGTTCGGCGATGCAGCACAGGGCTACGAGTCCCGCCGGGCCAGCGGCGTCTCCATGGACCCTGCTGCCTACGAGCTCAAGTCCCCGGTATTCACGTCACCTCCTCCCGTTGGGTTTACGGGACTGTCTGTCCGTCCATCCGCCCTGGCTGGCGCAGCAGCAGCCCAGCGCGGGGCGGGTGGCAGGGGGCTGATGTTGTCCATGTCCTCCCCGCAGCCCAGCACCCGCAGCTCCCCG